GGAAAAGGTCCAGACCTGGAGGGACCCCGCACTGAGGAATTCAAGACATCGGACGTCCGTAGCCAAGTCGGCTCAAGGCCGGTTTGTGCTGAAGCCTCGGCGAGATCGGTTGTAAGGCCTCGCCTGGGCCGTGCGCCGCGGCATGGAGCCGCGCCTGGCTCTCCTGGCTTTAATGGCGTTCGTGCTGGGGCAGGGTACTAGCGTTCTGCCCTTGACATCGGCGTCGCAAACGACACAAGCGCCGCCACCAGCTCCAGCGTTAATGAATGCCCCGACTGCGCTTCCGACCGGCAGACGCCAGATGGTATCGATGACAAATCTGACCGTCGACCACGTGGGCGGCCGCCGGATGGCGGTCGCGTGCGACGCTGGGTATTACGACACGTGTGGTGGCCATGAAAAGTATTGGGCATGCGGTTCGGTATGTGCGAGCGGCGTATACTGGGTTGATGGTACTAGCCGTTGCTGCTGCCAGCTGGAACCACCGACGCCTGCTCCACCACCGACGCCACCGACACCAGCACCACCCGCCGCTTGCGCCTATGATTACACACACCTAGGAGCAGCAGACTGTGATGCTGCGTGGGACTTGTACAGTCTTCCTTGCCAGACCCTTGAAGACACCTACTCGTGGATTTGCACAGGGTGCGTTTGCCCAGGAGACGACATGCCGACGACGTCCTGGACTCAGCACACTATGAAGCATTGTTCCGGTGAGATATTAGTAGGCTATAGATACTCAACGGTGGCGTTAGCACAATCTCAGTGCTCAACGATGAGCACCTGTTGGGGTGTGTATGACGTTGGCTGTGATGAGTCTTCGTACGATGTATTTCTGTGCAATGCGTCTACGATCGCAACATATTCCGACCTCGCAGCTTCATCCTCCAGCTGTGTATTTGAGAAGCCGCCTTCTCCGATGTGGGCAGCAGTCAGCGGCGAGTGTACGTTGGACGGCCTCTGCGTGGAAAGCCCCAACTACCCACAGAGTTACAGCAATAGTCAGACGTGCACATTGGAAATCAATTTGGGGTCAGCGGAGCCCACCATCCTAGTCGAGACCTTTGACACGGAGGCGTATTTCGATGTTCTCATTGTCAACGGTGTTTCGTATTCAGGGACGTCTGGTCCTACCGGCGTCACCCCGACAGAGACTGTCATTTGGTCCTCTGACGCCAGCGTTGTCAGTAATGGTTGGAGGCTGTGTGCCACCACCACGCCAGCACCTACGCCTGCTCCACCGCCGACACCACCGACGCAGCCGCCAGCACCACCCGCCGTGTGCGTCAGCAGTTATATAGTCTACGGAGTAGCAGCAGATTGTGATATTGCGTGGTATGTGTACAGTCTTCCTTGCCAGACCCTTGAAAGCAGCTATTCGTGGGATTGCACAGGGTGCAGTTGCCCAGGAGACGTGCCTGCACCCACGCCAGCAATCACGCCAGCACCCACGCAAGCAATCACGCGGGCACCCACGCCAGCCGCGCCGGCGGCCTGCGTCCACGACTACACAGCCAATGGAGCAGCAGACTGTGATGCTGCGTGGGACTTGTACAGTCTTCCTTGCCAGACCCTTGAAAGCAGCCTTTCGTGGGATTGCACAGGGTGCAGTTGCCCAGGAGACGTGCCTGCACCCACGCCAGCAATCACGCCAGCACCCACGCAAGCAATCACGCGGGCACCCACGCCAGCCGCGCCGGCGGTCTGCGTCCACAACTACACAGCCAATGGAGCAGCAGATTGTGATGCTGCGTGGGACTTGTACAGTCTTCCTTGCCAGACCCTTGAAAGCAGCCTTTCGTGGGATTGCACAGGGTGCAGTTGCCCAGGAGACGTGCCTGCACCCACGCCAGCAATCACGCCAGCACCCACGCACGCAATCACGCGGGCACCCACGCCAGCCGCGCCGGCGGTCTGCGTCCACGACTACACAGCCAATGGAGCAGCAGACTGTGATGCTGCGTGGGACTTGTACAGTCTTCCTTGCCAGACCCTTGAAGACTACTATTCGTGGGATTGCACAGGGTGCAGTTGCCCAGGAGACGTGCTGGCGCCCACGCCATCAATCACGCCAGCACCCACTCTTGCACCGACGCCTGACACGACGACTTCCTGGATTCACACGTCGACCGCGACCGTGACGAGCACCACGACGCCGCTTTGGATCGTGAGTAGCAGGCTGGAGTTTTCAAGCACAGGGACCACCGAGCAGGTGACCTCGACGGTGACGTCTCTCCTCACTGTCACGTTGAATTTGGAAGAAGACCACTTGACGGTAGCTGTCCTCTCTGATTCTTCCAATTCGGCAAATCGGCGGCTCTCCGCGCTAGCGTCATGGGAGATTGGTTTTGGTATTGTCGTGCCTGAACAATCCGCCCAGGAGATGTTCCAAGCAGTGGAGACCATGAGCGCGGACTCCAATGGTACTGCATTCGCGATGTCGGCAGTTTTCGAATCGGAGGGACTTGAATTAGATGAGGGTTCATTGGTCGTCACAGAGCCAGAGATGAAGATCGTCACCGTCACCATGACTACACAGAGCGCGACGTCTTTAACAGAAACGGGAACCTCTATGACTACTACACCCACTACACAGAGCCAGAGCGTGACTTCTGCTACGACTGCCACGGCCACCACCGACTCCTCTAGCAGGACCAGTGCCACCACGGCCTCGAGCTATTCCACGTCAATGTCCATGGCCTCCACAGAGACGGCGACGGGCTCCGTCACGCCAAGCACCACCGCTACAAGTGAGACGACCGCCAGCGTTGCAAAGGCAAGTACCACCACCGCTACGGAGACGGCCACAAACTATCCGAGCGGCTTGCCAGCCCTGGAACAGCAACAAGACCTTGAGGCATCGATTCCAATCATCGTTGGTGTCATGATCCTCGCCTTGGTCTGCAGCGCAATGATTTACCTGAAGATGCGCAGGCGTCGTGGCAGCAGCGTGGCAACTAAGCACAGTATGCCGGAGATGCAGGACGCGGAGATAGGCAATCCAGTCCCAGAGGCAGTCGATTTGGAGCAAGAAGAAGGCAATCACAACAATGACATCAGTGGCACAGCCGAGCACATCATGTGCGACTCGAAGATTGGGCATCCAGGATCAGAGACCGTCGACTGGGAGCAAGAAGAAGGCAATGACAACTGTGACAGTGCCCATCTGGAGTCAGAGACCGTCGACCGTAGGCTAGAACATTACATTGAGATTTGAATTTGGGCACAGAGGCAGTATTTGATGCTTCAAGTAGCGTTGTAGTGCCAGGGGCGAGGTAAGTGGACACATGGGGCAGAAGCATATTCGACAACCAGCTGTGGTCACCAGGTCGGTGTTTGAAACGCTGCCGAGGTCACAATGTTTCTTCTGCCCTGCGGCAATATTTGAGCTCATGAGCCTCTGGGGTCCAGAGGCCGTGGTTGGCACGCCGCCCCCGCTGCACCTGCGGCCTCGCAGAGTGTGCATGTGAGTGTGGCTGTGAGCCCGGCTCTGCTCGGACATGGCAGTCTGCGCCAGTCACAGCTTTTCCCTCGCGCTGCGACCGCGAGTGTGCCTTTTTGTTACCTAGGCTTCGTGCCGCCGCCCCCGCTGCAACTGCGGCCGCGCAGAGTGTGCATGTGAGTGTGGCTGTGAGCCCGGCTCTGCTCGGACATGGCAGTCTGCGCCAGTCACCGCTTTTCCCTCTCGCTGCCACGGCGAGTGTGCCTTTTTTTGTTGCCTCGGCTTCGTGCCGCCGCCTCGCCCCGTGCCGCCGTGTCGCGTGCGCGTTCTGTCCCCTCGGCGCCTGAGCCACCGGCTCCCGGCCACTTGGGCGATGCGCTTTCTTGCTCCCCGCGACCTATGCCAGCAGTCTGTGAGGCGTGGGCCGCCGCCTCGCCCCTGCCGCCGTATCAGTGAGCGTTTTGTCCCCTCGGCCAGAGCCACCATTTGGGCGAGGCACCGTGTTGCCCCCGCGACCTATGCCAGCAGTCTGTGCGGCGTGGGCTCCCGGTGCTGCCCGGCCAATTCCGCGGCAGGTTTTCCTTGTTTTTCCCGCTGCCATCTGGCAGCGCCGCGTGGGCCTCGCATCCCGCCACAACAGCGGTGGGGTCTGCGAAGCATTTAGTTCCCCACATCTCCAGTGGGCTTGTTGTTTTCCTGGACCCCCCTGTCATTCTCCCTTCTCCTCTTCCCTACCACCACCACCACCACGACCAGGACTTCCACAACTATTATTACAACTACCACTACTTCTATCACTGCTACACGTACTCCATATACCACTACCACTACTGCCATCACTACTACCATAATTATTCACGCTTCGCCTACCCCTACCAGTTTGGAGTTTGGCGCCGCACCGGCGACTCACTCCGTGCACTCGCGCCCGCCGCCGCTTGTTCACTTTGGTTTACTGTGCGGCGCCTAGGTGCGTCTGCTGGTGAATGCAGAGCATTGTGTTCAGTGCATGTGCAACTGCGCGCTTGTTGTGCAGGTGCGAACCGGCCTGCCAACGTGGCGGTTGGGGTCGCCAATTCGCATTGTGCCACCCGCCCCGGAAATTGCCCCTCGCCGCCAGACCGTTGTCGCGCGGCCGCAGACCAAAAAAAATATCCCTACCAACCCGCCATTTTGGCGTTGCACGTGGACCTGGTGCCCTTCCTGGTCTTCCTCGCCTTCTGGATCGCAGCGCAGTTCGCTTTTGCGCGTTCGGGGCTTAATTTAGATCGTGGCTTGCTGCTTCGCTCTGACGGCGCCTGGCACACCTGCGCGCTCGCGGACAAAAAGTGTCGCCACCAGCCAATTCAGAAGCCGTGCCCACGAGAGCTGACGGGAAAAGGGACGAAGGGACACATCTAGGAACACAAAGCGAGCAACCATGATGAACCGAGAGATCTCTGGGAGCAAGGGGGCCTTGGCAGGCCTCTTCGGGTCATCCCTGGGGGCCGCGTGGGGGCAAGGGGAAGGGGAGGAAAAGGAGGAGGAGGAGGAGGAGGAGGAGGAGGAGGAGGTGGAAGGA